ATTTCTTTTTCAGATTGCTCACTATTAACTTACAGAAATGTTGATTTTTATACGTGGATTTCATATCCTGTAACTTTACTGAGTTTATCAATTCTAATAATTTTTTGGTGGAGTCTTTAGGTTTTTCTAATTTAGAAAAAGATTATATCATCTGCCAACAAGGATAATTTGACTTCTTTCTTTCCCATTTGGATGTCCTTTATTTCTTTCTCTTACATAATTGCTCTGGCTAGGACTTCCAGTACAATCTTGAATAGAAGTGGTGAAAGTAGGCATTCTTACCTTATTCCATATCTTACTGGAAAGGCTTTCAATTTTTCCCCATTCAGTATGACAATAGCCATCAGATTTTCATATGTAGCCTTTATCATGTTGACATATGTTCCTTCTATACCCAATTTTTTGAGAGTTTTTATCAAGAAGGGATCTTGAGTTTTATCAGATGCTTTTCTGCAATCTACTGAAATGATCATATGGTTTTTGTCCTTGAATCTCTTGATGTGATGTATCATATTTATTGATTTGTATATGTTGAATCATCCTTGCATCCCTGGTATGAATCCCACTTGATCATGGTGAATGATCTTTTTGATGTGTTGTTGAATTCTGTTCGCTAGTATTTTGTTGAGGATTTTTTATATCTGTGTTCATCAGGAGTATTGGCCTATAGTTTTCTTTTTTGGTTGTGTCTTTGTCTGGTTTTAGGATCAAGGAACAATCTTTACTTTTGTTTTGTTTTCCTGTCATAGGATGAGCTGTAAAATTGACCCAGGATTATATATTGAGTTTTAGGGCAGTTATAGTGAAAGATGAGTATTCAAGGGAGTTGAGGTTTCTATTGAAAGAGTAGCTCAGGAGATCAACCACACAATCCATCCTGAGGACCCTAAGAGGGACCTGTTCTACCAGGAGAAAATGAAGAGATTGCAGAGTTAAACTTACAGCAAGTGGAATGGAAATGAAGGTTTGAGAGAATGGGAAAAGAAAAGTTTTTGATCTCAGAATATGAAAATAGAATTTAAAATTTCAGAGGCTGAAACCAGGATTTAACTTAGCAGCAAGTTATTTGTTTTTTTAATTTGCAGTGGTTTAAAGAGGTGCTTGTTTTCCTAATATAACAAGAAGTCTGAAGCTAAGCAGTTGCTGGTATTGGCCTGTGGTTCAACAATACTTAGTCTAGCAGCCCTCTGATTTTCCGTCTTTCCCTCTCAATAGCAAGATGGTTGTTGCAAATTCAGGTTCCACATTCAATTCAGGAAATGGGAGAAAGGTGGGGATAGGGATGCCACCAGCTTCAGCGCTCTCCTTTTGACAGGAAAAACAAAAGACTTCCCCAAAGTCACAGAAGATTCTACTTAAGGGGGTTACTAGACAGACTATGACACATGGCCACCTCTAGCAACAAACAGGGCTGAGAATACAAACATTTAGCTTTCCAGAGTCTATAGTGGAGTAAGCAAGGGTGAAGGGATTGGAAGATACATGTTTTTATGCAGTAGTCATAGGATAAACAAGGATATTATGAATTATCTGATGTCACCCATCCCCAGTATTAGAAAAACAGCTCAAAGTGCATGTGTTCATACGTGATCTAGTATTCATATCTTTAAAGCCCAATACATGTGGACTCTGCTGATACGAAGAGCAATACATCTGAGATAAATATACAACCACACAGCCTCTAAAAGGGTCTGTTCAAATGTGTGTGTGTGTGTGTGTGTGTGTGTGTAGCAGTAACCTCCTATCTTAACCATACTCTCCAAGCAGATTCAGTCAGCATCTGTGTAGATGTTCTCTAGTCCCCTGGTTCCCAGTGTCAAGAGTGAGTGCTGGTACCAAGTGGAGCCGATGACAGAGTAATCACAAACACAGAGCAACAATCTTATACAAACAGTTTATCACATAAAAGAAAGAATGAAAGGAAGGAAGGAGGCCATACAAAGTGAAAGTATGTTCCAGAGAGAGTGGAATGCATCAGTCTCCACAAGTGGAGAAAGATGCTGGAGGCTGAGCACACATTGCCTTTTTAAGCCCACTAGTTTGTCCCCACCCCACCCCCACCCCCGCCTTTCCCCTGGCAGGATTGGATGCCATTTCCCGCCTTTGGAGGTGATTGACAGGTTGGTGTTACATAACAGATCACATGCCAGGATACATACAGGGTAGGTTATATAATAGTTTCCCTTTCTGTGCATGCATCTTTTCCAGAATTCTCCTTGAAGCTCCACTAATGTTATGCTAATTAGATGGTAATGAGCTCTAAGTCAGTTAAGGGTTACTAGGAACTTTTTACCATGTATGTTTCCACCAGGGAACAGTTCCTGACCACAATTTGGTTCCTAGCTACAATTCCGTTCCCCCTCTCCACCCCTGGCCTGTTTACTTGCTACCTGTTTACTCTCCACCAGACCCAACAGATTTCCCTTTGACATTTAAGTGCTAGTTAATTGTTTTGTGTTCCCTTTGTTTGCCATGCTCAGCATTTCTTTGCTCAATTTATTCCTTCTTGTTAAGAGAACTTTGGAAATTTCAGGGAGCCCTCAGGAACTCACAAGCCAGCTTTTCAGTAGACCTCTGGGCATAATTTTCCATGTTGTTTTAATAAATGTTGTGGTTTTGCTATAGATTACAGTCAAATGAAATTTATGGTGAACTGCTATTTGAAAGTACTCTTACCTCATTCATTTGCAAGTTTTACCTCAGCATCTAATCTTGCCACAGGCTTACTCTACTTGGATTTTTTTTTTCAATTTGTGTTCTGACAGTAGTCAATTGCCACATAATGAAATTATATATTTCTGTAATAGGAAATGGAAATTTCTTAGTTTCTTGGTAGAATTTGTCCAGAATGCCTTTGATGAAATTTGGTCGATTAATGTAACTTTGGACCTCAGACCACAAGTGAGAGTTCAGGGTTCAATTTCTGCCTCTTCTTGCCGATATATAGATAACTTTCCATGTCACAGTTACAAAACAGAAAAATCTAAGGGCTGAAAAGCCCTAAAATGCTTTGAAATATTTTAACAGTATTACTTATAGTTTCTTTCAGCCTGCTATGTGAAAACATCACCAAGGCCGTGATCTTGCTTTGCAATCAAGTGTGAATGATATTAACATTAGAGAGGGGATACAATGTCATACACCCAGCCTCTGGCAGATCCAGTTAGTGAACATGTAGGATTATACCAAGGCTGGTAATAATGTAAAATCTACATTACTATATTCCCTTCCTTCTTACACTTCAATTCTCTTGAACCTTTTTTTTTTTTTTTTTTTATGTTTGCCATGTTATTTTACTTTATTAGAGTCTGGTTCAACAGAGGAGAACTTAGTCTTATAAGTCTGGATTGTCTATTTGAGCCCTCTCTGGGCTTGGCAAAGACTAGGAATAGATACAGCACTGAAGGCTATAATTATAGACACTGTTACAGCCAGATGTTGGCTCCCTACCCAATATGGTGAATGGCCTCCTGTGTGATTTAGTGATGGCTCACCAAATCCCATGTGCCCAAGTCTAGGGAATCCCTTCTTTCAAAGGATGCTGTGTCCTCTGAAAGGATGATTTTTAGACAGAAAAGCAAAAATATACTGGAGATTGAACTTCAAGATAGATGGAATATTTTGTAAGTATCTTGTTGCTTTAAGCTTAAAACTCAATCTGGACAAATTATATGCTAAAGAATAGTGACAATTGCTTATGTTTCCTGTTTATATGGAGTAAGTTTTACATGCTGTTATTTTAAGTGTTTTATCTACATTAGTTCACTCAACCCCACAATGTAGGTACTACAATCCCCATTTTACAGAAGAAGAAAATCAGAGAATTTAAATAATTATTAATAGTTCTTGGTTACATAAAGTTAGTGCTAGAGATGGGACTCAAAGCCAAACTTTGAGGTTCTAGAGGACTAAGAGAACTTTTGAATTGAGATTATCAAATTATTGTTGGTGATCTTTGAGAAAGTGTGGGGAACCAGAAATATAGTAGAAGTCTAGAGATTATATCTAGACTTCTATAATGTGTGTAGTTCACATTTTTGTTGTTCATTATTTTCCTGAAGAAAATGTCCAAGTGCTGTTAAATATTGTTATAAATTATTTTGGAGAGATATAGAAGGTAGCTTTACCAGATTTTCTAAAAAGACCTTTTTAGGGCTGTTAGTTGGCCATGATATATATAGGAGGTAGAATGGAATGCGATCCACTACCACTTCCACTCCGCAGATTTTAGGCTTCAGTGCAAGCAGCATAGCATCTAGGAAAAGGAAATTGATCATTCTCTCTAGACAAGTCGGGGCCCTCTGTAGTGTTTATTCTGCTTGGCTCTAAGCCCCCCATTTTAAGGGAAGTATGAAAAAACTGCGTTATTTTGGTCATCAACTTTGAGAATTATAAAATGATTCAGTCCAGTCATTGGAAGAGGGGTTAAAGAATTGTGGACATTTAGCCTGGAAAAGGGAAGACTTCAAGGAAACTAAAAGAGATATCTTTAGTACTTGGAGTACTAACATGCATGAAAATGATTGCAAAGTTAGGTAGTATCAGAGCCAGTGATCAGAAGTTAATGAAGACAGATACTGGCTTGACATGAGATGGTCAAATCTCTCACAGATGGAGTAGGCTGCCTGGAAAGGTATTTCCTTTCACCAACATTTGTGTGAGTGTGAATCTAGAAGCTGAACCACCACATGAAGATGTAAAAAAAGAGACACAAGCACAGACCAAGTGGTTGGGCTGCGTGATTGTTAAGGCCACTTCCAACTCTGCGGTTCTGTTTCTATCATTCTATGAATTGATTCAAGACAATCAGCCGAGCTGCTATGTTTAATCAAGTATAGAAATAGTCTCTATTGCATCTTGGACTTCTAATGCTGCCAACAACTAGCATTAGCCAAATTGGTAAAAACAAGGAGATGAACAACAAGATAACATGTTATTTCAAAAGAACCTCTTGACATCTAATGAAATGATTGGTGTTTTGTCCTCACCCCTTTTTTCAGTGCTTTCTCCTGCTCAAGATAGCCACACGTATGTGGGTCTGCCCCCAGTGTCGGATCTGATCATGCGGACTCTGAATGAGCTTGCCAAGTCGTTCCAGGATATGGCTGACCGCTGCCTGCTGGTCTTACATCTGGAAGTGAGGTATGGCACGGCAAAGCACGGGACTGCGTGGTTCCTAGATCACTTGCTTATTTCTGGAGAGTATCACCATGGTTTTTGACTCATATTATGATATTGTCCTTTTCTTATACTGAATGTGATTTTTTAGCATTATTTGGTCACTCTTAAAGTATCTGAACACATGCTGTGCTGTGAGTGGGGTGATTCAGAATTGGCATGGCCTATGAAATCAGAGTGATCTGTATTTGAATGTCCATAACACACTGGCTACGTGATCTCAAGTCAGTTAATTAGCTTTACAAACCCTCGGTTTCCTCACCTTAAAAATGGAAGTGGTAATTTCTAATGTATAAAGATTTTATAAATGAAATAATAAATCATTAGCACAATGTTGGCCATACAGTAAGTGTTCAAAATGTGGTAGCTTTGCAATTATGATGACTTTATTGTTATTGATGTTTTTACTAAGGTACTCTGCTAGTCAAGAAGGGAGTTTACAGATGTCAGAGTCATAATCCCTGCAAGGAACTCACAACCCAAATGGAAAGATTAAGTAAAATAATAATTTAAGAAAAACATATTATTATACATATGGAAGTGGAAGAAAGAAAGGACTAGGAAGCCTTCAATTATTCACTCGTTCACTCAATAAGTATTTATTGAGTACCCTCTTTGTGCCAAGTAGTAGTCTAAAAATTGGGTTGCAGCAGTGAACAAAACATTCAAGGTCCTTGCTCTCATGGAACTACATTCTAATGGAGGGAAATAGCCAAGGAGCAAACAAAAAATATAATTTTAGATAAGTTCGACTAAAATAATAAAATAACATAATGGGATCAAGCAGTGATATTCTATAGAAGATAAGCTGAGCTATAAATGCAAGCCACAGATGATTTTAAATTTTCTAATAGTCACATTTGAAAAAGTAGAGGGAAACAGGTGAAGAATTATAATAATATATTTTAGTTAACCCAATATGTCTAAAATACTATCATTTTAACATGTAATTTATATAAAAATGATTCATGAGACGTTTTGCTTTTTTTTTTTCTTTCGTAAGCCTTTGAAATGTGAATATTTCACACTTCTCTTTTAAATCACAATTTGGACTGGTCACATTTCAAGTGCTCAGAAGCTGTGTGGCCAGTGCTGTCATACTGCGTGGCTGGGGTTGAGTTGACCAGAAAGGGGATTCTTTTTCTTTTTTTTATGTATATAAAGTAGTCAGAGGATTATGACAAAGTAACAAGAAGGAGCCATCTGTACAAACATCTAGTGGAAGAGTTTTAGACAGAGGAAGCAATACTCACAAAGGTCCTGAGACAAAATCAAGTTTGGCCATTTTAAGGAGCAGAGAGCAGCCTGAAGTGATTGTAGCCTGATGAGCAAGATGAGTGGGCAGGAATGGAAGAAAGTCCAAGACACAAGCTGGAGCCCGATCACGTGGGGTCACGAAGCCAGATACATTACACGGTCTTACAGACCAAGTGAATAGTTCAGGTACCATAACTATCATGGCAATAAGAAGCCATAGGAGGGTTTTTAAGCAGGGGAGAAATGTTAATTAATGAATTAACATCTTTAAAAGATCACTCTGGCTGTTGTATGGAAAAGGAATGGCGGGAAGAAACATGAATGGAAGCAGGGTGACCAGTTGAGACCCATTGAGCACCAAGGTGACAGAGGTGGAAGTGTGAGGAGTGCTGGATTTGGGACATATACTGAAGGTGGAGCTGATAAAATTCGTTAATAGATTGGATTGGGCTTGGGCTGGTGGCAGTGGGAGAAAGAAAGGACTCAAGGAAGACGACCAGTTTTGGGGCCAAGGCAACTGTGTCAATGAAGAGGGGCATCAACTGAGGTAAGAAAGGCTGAGGGAGAAGAAAGGTTGGTGGGTGGAGAGTATAAATCAAGAATTCTATTTTAGAGATGTCCCATTGCAGATGCTTATTTACCATCTAGGTAGCCATGTCAAATAGACAGTTGGCTATAAACTTTCAAAACTTCAGGATCAGAAAGTGTATGGTATGGTAAAACATTTTGTCCTGTATTACTTTGGAACATTATTGAAGTTGGTAGAATATTTTCTTTTCATTTGAAGCCTTTACTAGATTTATATTTTAAAAATGTAAGTACAACTTTGGTCGATAGGGGACCTTTGAAGTATGTCTGGACTCCAGTTAGAACTTGGGTGTCTTTCAGGGGGTGTTGGTGTCACTCCTTTTATGTGCCACTTGCTGTTTTCATTCTTCACGACCTTGCTCTTTATTGTTTGTGAGCACCTTGTGAGTGGAACAAGAGAAGTAGCATTGCAGCTTTGGAATCTCTTTTACTTAGTATTATTTCTGATCTTATTTCTTACACTAAGCTGTCCAGAAATAAGGTCTCTTTCCATGTTTTCTGATTTGTTTTGCGATAATTTTTAGATTTATTTTCTATTTATTTACAAGTAGACAGTGAAATAAATCATGTGTTTTCTAGGAATAGATAAATGCAATAGGCAGAAGGCAGGGAAAAACACCCAGTAATATTCTGATGCTTCTGCTACCTGGGTTGCAAAGAAAAACAAGGGAATACCAATTTAATTATTATCGCAACTCCTAGAATTTATACTATTGATTGTGTGGTTATATGACATGTTGTATATTCAGAATTATCTATTTGTAGTGTAGTTAATTCCAAGTGGGATATTTGCAACATGTTTGAGGAAGGTCTTTTAAATCTTTAACCCCTATTCTGGTCTTATTTTTGTACATGTTGGCAATACTATTCTTAATACTGAACATGTTTTAGTCATTATTTATTAATTTTACAAGAAACCATACAGTGCTATAACACCCATTGCTGTATCTCCTTCAACAATAGTTTAAAAACAGAAAAAGGTAATTTTAAGAATGAATCAGGCCAGGCGCGGTGGCTCACGCCTGTAATCCTGGCACTCTGGGAGGCCAAGGCGGGTGGATTGCTCAAGGTCAGGAGTTCAAAACCAGCCTGAGCAAGAGCAAGACCCCGTCTATACTATAAAAATGGAAAGAAATTAATTGGCCAACTAAAAATATATACAAAAATTAGCTGGGCATGGTGGTGCATGCCTGTAGTCCCAGCTACTCGGGAGGCTGAGACAAGGAGGATCGCTTGAGCCCAGTAGTTTGAGGTTGCTGTGAGCTAGGCTGACGCCACGGCACTCACTCTAGCCTGGGCAACAAAGTGAGACTCTGTCTCAAAAAAAAAAAAAGAATGAATAAGAACAAAAGACTGAATTTTAGAGTCCTGGATGCAGAATTATATTTCCTTGACTTTTATTGAGAACACTAAACAAATTTATTTTTTATACATTAAATCTCCTCACTTCCTTTTATAACATGGTTTCACCATTCAGGCTGCTCTCTTAATGAGTATGCTCCATTTTGTCTTTGTTCCTTTTAAACTTTTAAACTATGGTACATGAAACTAACAGAATACTCCACATATGGCTCAGACAGTGAATGTGGACATGCATATTCTGTCCTTGTCATATTAACAATTTTTTTAGGGGGGGGTTGTACAGTAATGCTACGAAATGAATAAGACAGATCTCACTCAAATCATTACGTTATAGTATAATGATGCTAGAATAGAGGCTGAGTGCTCTGGGTACTCTGGTGTGTGACTGTGGAGTAACTGTTAGCTGTTCCAGGAGTGTCTTGTTCATTGTTATGTCCCACCCCTGATCCTGAAACAGCCCTGCTGCATACCAGGTGCTCAGTAAAAACTTGATTCCTAAGAATTAGCTGGTTTGAAACCGAACCCAGATAAAATAAGTGCTATTCCTCCAAACAAAACCTGTTGCTCTTTAAAGAAAATGAATTGGTTTGTAGACTCTGTGTTAGCCTATTAGTCCACCTGCAAGTCTACTACATGAATCTCAGAGGCACAAAAACTGTGGCCAACATCATCTTCGGCATCATAATCCACAACTGTTTGTTATATTCCCATCCTGCTGTATAAAAGAATTAGAACATAAGCCCTGTGGTCCAGGAGCTGGTGTGATGAAGAGGTGTCTGGCACTTTTAGCCAAGAAGCCACTGTAATAAGAGTGCACAGATAGAACAGGGAAAAAAAAAGTCTTGGAAAAAAATTAATGGGATATGCTAGTAAAATGTCCGGAACAACTTCAAATGCCAAAAATTTGTCTTACTCCCCAAAATATCTTTATATCCATAACTCGTATTTTTCTTTAATGTTGTTAAAGTTCAAACCAAAAAATATTCTCAAGTCTAGCAAATTCTGTGTTAAAGGACCCATCCAAAGAGCATTTGACATTTTACCTGTGTCATTGTAGGTCATATTTAACCACCAAGCAGCCCCTTTCCACAGTTTGAAGCATAAGGCACATGATATCCCTAAGAGATGAAGGACATGGTTGAGACCATTAAAAATTATTGAGATTTTTTTCCCTATTTGAACTTTAGAAGAAGAAAATTAAGTTGCCATTTGAGTCCAACATGCCAAGAATGTCACCTTTATCAGCTGATTTTTCTCACCATCAGGAGGGCTCTGAGTGGGTTCAACAGCAACTGCCTGTCACTGTTGGGATCCTAAGTGTGCACTTTCTGAAAATCAACCATCCTGCAGTGTAATCAGCAGTGTTTGCAGAAAACCTTAATGCCAAAGTCATGTTAAGGTCAGCAACAACATGCCAGAATTTAAAAGAAAAAAAAACTTGATTTGAATTTGACATTCTCTGATGGCTATTTTAATTTCTTCTTCTTTTTTTTTAAATCTCTGAACATTTGGTAAGAAGAAGATAGTATCTTAAACAGTGGTTGATCTCTCCTCTCTGCCAATAGCTTCAGAATCTCATAAGGTCTCACTTCCCATTCATAAGAATTTCCTAATTAGTCTCTCTACTTCCATTCTCTACCATTAATCCACTCGTATTGTACTAGAGTGATCTTGCCAAAGCTCTTATCTGATTATATCATTTTACCTCTTAAAATTCTCCTAAGTCTCCCTATGGCTTCTAGAAGTCCAGATCTTTTAGGTGATCTCCAAAGCCTATGATAACCTGGCCCCTGCCCATCTCCCAAGCTCACCTCATGCCTCTGTCATGTGACCTGTGTACAGCAGAAAGGAACCACTCACCATTCCACAGAACCATCCTTCATTCAAAGTCTCATGCCTTTTTTACAAGGTTTTGCCATTGTCTGGGGTCATAATGTCTGTAATTTAATTTAAAAATACTTTAGCGTAGATGCTTAAATTTTACTTTCAACTAAGTGCTATTTGGTTTAAATTTCAACCACAGTAGCAATCAGTTGCCCTAGTCATGAATCCCACCCCAGGGTTGGTCAACTTTCATTATATCAGAACAGTCACATTCCAGAGGGGTCTGTGACCAGTGCTAAATACTGGTACCCTGACCAAAACTATACATGTTGTCAATTAGTATGTGAATGTCAGAATGAGTTTTTATTTGTGCAACTAGTCATTAGTTAATTAGCATCTGTTAAGATGAGCACCCATCAATGAAAATTAGCAATAATCAAGATATTTGGATTCTCTTGCATGAACAGGTTATAAGAATATGACACATCCTATTAAAAACTTAGCTCAATATGGATCATGGAACGAAATGTAAAACCTAAAACTCTGAAACTTCTAGAAAATTTTTGTGACTTTGTTTAGGCAAAGGTTTCTTAAATATGACACCAAAAGCACCATCCATAAAAGAAAAAAATAAGTGAACCTCATCAAAATTAAAATCCATTGTTTCAAAGACATTGCTAAGATGAAAACACAAGCCAAAGATAGGGAGAAAATATTTGCAAAATGCATATCTGATAAAAGACTTATATCCAGGTATATAAAGAACTCTCAAAAATTAATAAGAAAACAAACAACCCAATTATAAAAATTAGGCAAATGATATGAACAGATACTTTACCAAAGATATATAGATGGAAAATAAGCAATGAAATATGCTCAACATCATTAGTCATTAGCAAAATGCAAATTAAAACCACAGTGAGATACCACTATATATCTATTAGAATGACCAAAAGAAAATTTCTTTTAAAAAAACTGACAATGCTGAGTGTCAGTGAGGATGCAGAGCAATTGGAACTCTTGCACATTGCCAGTAGGAAAGCAAAATGGCACAGCTTCTTTGGAAAACAGTTTAGCAGTTTCTTATAAAATGAAACATACTCTTACTATATGATCCAGCAATCCCATTTCTAGGTATTTACTTGAGAGGAATGAAAATTTATATTTACACAAAAACTTATAGATGAAGTAGCTTTATTCATAGCCAAGCAAAACTGGAAACCACCTAAATGTCAACTGGTAAATGGATAGACTATGGAGTATATATCCATTCAGTGAAAGGCTGCTTGCTCAGCAATAAAAAGGAATGAAAAGAACATAGATAAATCTCAAATGCTTTATGCAAAGCAAAAGAGCCAAACCAAAAACACTACATACTGCATGACTCCATTTACATGGCATTCTGGAAAAGACAAAACTGTAAGGACAGAAAATAGATTAGTGGTTGCCAAAGGCTTAGTGGTAAGTAGGGATTGACTGCAAAGGGGAACAGGGAATTTTGTAGCTGATAGTCATGTTCTATAATTTGATAATGGTGGTGCTTATACAACTGTATGTGTTTGTCAAAACTCATAGAACTGTGCACTAAAAAGAGAGAATTTTACTGTTTATAAATTATTTCTCAGTAAACCTGACTTTAGAAAGAGAAAGATGACAGGCAAACAAAGCCTGTGGTTGTATCATTAGGGATAACGCCCAGGGCTTTTGCAGCCATTTGTTTAGGAAGATCTCTTGTTCTTGATGCCAACTATACGGATGACAGAATGCTGACTCTGGTTTGTCATGCCGTCTGCCCCAGTGAACCTTCCATGCAAGATCAGTCATAGCAATGAAAAAGATGCATAGTTAGGACTGCGCTGGGCTTACGGATCAACGTGTTGGAACGGTGCCTGCCAGTGGATGGTGTTGGTTTTGAGCTTTCTGTTTATTTGTTTTTGGGTTTTTGTTTTTTTTCCCCAAAAGTAAATGCCTAGATGTGTGGCAAAATTTGGACAGACACTTTCATTACAAATTTAAAAAGCTGTGGAGGTATAACCATTCCTTACCTACCTCCGACTTATTTGGCAGTTACTAGTATCTACCAGAGAGAACCTAAGAATTGTGTAGAACCAGACTGACTCAGGCCATGTCAACACAGAAATGTTCTCCTTCCTCAAGCTCATTCAGATGCCTTCTGTGAGATTCAAGTATCACCTCCCATCATGAACTTTTTCTGGCACCCTTTCTGGCAGATTTCCATGGCACCCAGGCTTGGAATGAGACCATATTCTCTTTCTCTTGTTTTTTCTTGGATCCGCCCCACTAGGCTATGGTGTCTTTAAGGCCACAAATTATCTTATATTCCCAGGACGTATCATAATTTCTAACAAATTCATAGATGTTTGGAAAGTAATTTATTGAACTAATAAATTTAACAGCAATAAATATGCCTAGTCATAACAGCCAGCACTTACTGTGCACTCAGCATGTGCCACTTTCTGTGTAGTAGTTCCTCACAACACCTTGGGAAGTAGGTGCTATTATCACCCCCATTTCACAGGTAAGGAAACTGAGGCATTGAAAAATAAAGTAACTTGCCTAAAGTCATACAGCTGGTAAATGTTGGAATTGGGAACCAAAGCCAAAGTCGTCTCCTTCCAAAACCTATACTTTTAAGATTTGTAAACTTTGCCTCTCATTTTCAGTGCAATAATATCTGTTTTAAGACATAATGCTTTTCACACTTTGCATACAATCCTGGCATTAAAAAGAATTTTAGAACTCCTTACTATATCAACCCTATATGGATTAAACAAGCCAAAATCACAGAAGCCAGCTTGTTCCAGATCACTGTTGTTCTATAGAATAACTAAGATGGCTTTCTGGTTAAAAAGGTGGGAGGTAGTTTACATAAAAATTTACAAGGCCACTGCTGCTTCAGATATTTTGGTTCTCTGTCCCAAGAAGACCATGATCTTCACTGGAAAGATTCATTATTAACTGTTGTCCCCATCTTTCTTTTTTTTCAGGGTTCACTGTTTCCACTATCTCATCCCTCTTGCGAAGGAGGGAAACTATGCCATTGTTGCTAACGTGGAAAGCATGGATTACGACCCTCTGGTGGTCAAGCTAAACAAAGACATCAGTGCCATTGAAGAGGCCATGAGCTCCAGCCTTCAGCAGCACAAGTTCCAGTATATCTTTGAAGGTACAGACCTTGCTTCTGTCTCGGGGGTTCGAAAGGAAGGAAGGGTGAAGGTTTCCCCGAGATGCTATATTATTGACGTTAAAAACTTATAGAAAAAGTCGTTTGTTTGCTTGTTTGTTTGTTTGAGCGAACTCTGCCATACCTGGCCGCTCTGTGTTTGACTAGTTAGACAACAATATGGCTGCCATCTGCTCCTGGTTGATAAGGAGATTTAATCCAAGATAAGGCAGATGGCTGCCTCCCTGACATGCCACTGATGAGATTTGAGCGAATGTGTGGAGGGGGCCGTAAATGAACTCGAGAGGAGCTTATAAAAGAAAAAGAAAACACGCATACACAATGAGGAGAGAATCCTGAAAGACCCCTCATTGGCTAAAGTTATCGCTGGAATGGGAAGTTTTCTCATGGAATGCGTTATCATCTGAAAGAACAGAAGCCTCTGATTACGGGAGATGTTTGGAAGGCTGCATCCATAAATGCCTTCAGGGGCAGGCAGGCAAGGAAGGGTGTGAGAGACAGCAAGTACCATCTAAAGACATTTATCGTCACAATTGTGACAAATGTGCCACCAGCCAAATATTTTTCATGGTAAATTTCACCCATAGGACCCCTGTTAGGATTTCAAATTATATTCCCTTTTTACTCATTTTGGTTTGTTTGTGTGTAGACCTAGATGCCAAAAGTATCTGTGTTCTCTTACAGAATAAAACCAGGATTATTTAAAACAATTAAGAAGGTACACTGTGCACAGGATTGTGGCAAACTGACAATGCATGACCCATGCTTGCTTCATGTAACAGTTATATTCCAGCAAGTTTGGACACACACACCCCAAATTCTATTTCCCCATTAAATAATAAAGATAGAGACATGCTCTGATGGGGAATGTCCCTGAAAGACTTAAGCCAAAAAGTATAAGTGATTAAAGGGTTAGCTGTTAGTTAGCCCCATGGCACTCTGGTATATCCAGATATACCAGTGAATTTTGTGGCACCTACACTACTCTGCAGCTTGAAGCTGCAGTGACCATCGGAGAATTTGCTTTTATCTTAATACACAGAGTTCCTCTTTGCTCTTGACTGTGACTCTTCCCAGCCCTGAGTATCATATTAGAATATGTATTTCTTTAATATAAATCTTGTAACTTATTATTTCTTATTCTCTGTAAATAATGCACCCATCGTTGCCTATACTTTGGACAGACCACATTGTACCATGGAAGGAAAAAATAATACCTAAAGTTACGGGCTCAAAAGAATGACACCAAAACTTGACCTACAGAGATTTATCAGAGAAATAAGTTGTCTGGCTTTCAATATACAATCCATGTACATTTACAAAAGTGAAATCCTATTTCTTTCACTTTCAGTTAGCACAGACAAGTTTGTGGTCTTGAGGTGATGTTGGGTGAGTGTAACTGAAGCAGGAGAAAGCATTTTCCTCACTCATTTTCTACCTCCACCTTAACCTAGGGAAAAGTCATTTTGAAAACAGAGCCATTGAACCTTAGGAAGAGCCTGACATTCACATCTGAACCTTTGAATCTCTATGAAGGGACTTAGGACTTCCAAAGAAGAAAATAACAAAAATAGGAGACTGCTTGGGACTAGCCAGACCAGCTTTAGAATTCCTAGGAAAATGTCCTACTAGAGTCCAACTTTGCAAGAATAGGAAAAACAGAATGAATACACGTTTACTGAATTCCATTTAGAATTAAAATCTAACTTTTAAAAATAGTAACCCATATGCGCTTCACGTTGTTCTGAACCAGCATTTCTCAACTTAATTACACGGGATATCCTGGAAGAGACCTGTTAGTTTGTTGATGTCCTGAGCTGCCCTTAAGTAAATTCCATAGGCCATAAGACAGCCCTTCAGACGTAAGAACATACCACATAGGGGACCCCAGAATAGGTGTCTCATGCAAACTAAACAACCAACATACGATCTACTTTTCCTTAGCCCTTTGCTTCTGATTACATTCTCTCCAATTACTGCTTTAGAAATATACCCCATTGCCAATGTTGGAGTGCGTTAGCATTATTGCCAGTAACCCAGTTTCTTACTGATTTATTTTTACTTGTCAGTGCTGAAGTATATTAGCATTATTGTCAATGCCCAATTTCATATTGATTTATTTTTACTTAGGTAGGCTCCCAGTCAACTTTTGAGACAAAAGTATGCCCCACTGTTTTGGAGGAGAAAGGCAAGGCCAAATAGATCATTGTATGTACATGTGCTCTTTCTGCTTCCCAATTATCTATACAGAAAAGCAGGAGTTCCTATGCGTGTTAAATAGTTTATGACAACCTGGCATGTTCTCTAAGCCCTTGCCATGGTGGCAGTAGGTGCATATGCCAATGCTGGATCTCTGGATATACCAGGTTTTGTTGCCAGCATAAAGTCTACCCGTGTATAGCTACTAGGACAATGTAGAAATACTCTGAAATTACTGTAAGATCAGCAGATGCAAACATCAAAGATACGTTTTCTTTGGTCATTTAAATTTATGGAGTATTAGAAGAGAGAAGTTCTGTGCATGAGTTTCTGCAGGTTGCCACTCATCTATCTTCTCTTCTCTCCCCACTGCTCTGTGTGGACCCCTCAGGCCTGGGCCACCTGATCTCCTGCATCCTCATTAATGGTGCCCAGTACTTCCGGCGCATCAGTGAGTCCGGCATCAAGAAAATGTGTAGGAACATTTTTGTTCTTCAGCAGAATTTGACCAACATCACCATGTCTCGGGAGGCAGACTTGGACTTTGCAAGGTAGGATGGAAAACTGGGCTTAATTTCTTATACCAAAGCCAAGACCTCATTGCCTATAAAGTCATTTTTAAAGATGGATTTTTGGTACTTAAAAAGCTTAATTTAAAAAAAGGAAGGAAGAAAGAAAGAGATAGATGTTCTTAGATCATAAAGAAGGTAATTCTACAAAATTCTATTGAATGTTTGACATCACTTAGGCAGATAGTTTTTCCTGCTGTCTGACCTAAGTTGTTCTTACTACAAAATTTTAGTAATTTTCTTCCGAGTATAAAATATATATATATATTCATTTTATAAAATATGTAAGATAAAATACAAAGACTAATATAAACATCATGCATAAATCTTTGATCTAGAAACTGTGATATTTAGGATACTTTATCCTGGCTTTTGTGCATGTCCTATGTGTATTTATGACTTTCCCCACATATATATGTGTAGGATTTCTCTTTTTACAAAATTGGAACTATGTTAATGTAATTTCATATTAACTTAATTGTTTTTCCTTATCAGTAATATTCTTTGAAAGCATGATTTTTCCCACATTCATTAATACTCCTTGAAAACATTACTTTTAATGGTTGAACAAATATTCTGTGGTATAAATGAACCATAATTTATTTTTTCATCCATTTGCAAATTTGGGGACATTTGAACTTTTTTCCATTATTTTCTTTCATTGTAAATAACATGTATTGAGCTCACGTTTACGTGAATCTATTTCTTCATCTCTTCCTGTCTTGTTCCAGTTGAAACCTATCTCCTCCTCTTGTTTTCTGGGAGGAGCATGGGTACTTATCACTATCCTTTCTCTTTTCTAGGTTTGCTGATCTCAATATTTAATCTTTTTCTATAATATACTCTTTCAAATTTGAGAGTTAATTTTGTTCTCTCTTCATTTGGTCTTAACACTGTCTATACTTTACTTAAAACATCAAAGCTCTAGTACTTTCATGAAAGCTTAAACAAATTTGAAGGGGATAGATGACAATTATGGTATCTCCACACTGTATTGCTCTTTATACATATGTGGATTATTCTATAAACTCCTTCATTTTACAGAAGCCTTTATGGCTAGGAAGTCATTTGTTTTTAATAACCCAGAATGCCCCTGCCTAATATTTAGCGCTTCTATGTCTTTTCACTTAATGTTTTAATTCCTTCAAAAGTCTACGAAAATTTGAAACAATTCTTGAATCTTTTAACGGAATGATGAAATATTATCTACTTTGACAATTATAAAGACATATATACTATGATCATTATTTTGAAAATGAACTGTATATGTTCATTTTTAACCTTTCTTCCCAAATCTATTACTCCATTTGTTCCATTGCTACCTTCTTCCTCTGCTTTTTGGTTCTTCTCCTTCCCTTTTTTTCCCTGTTTGCGGGAAAGTGTGTGTGTGTGTGTATTTGTGTTTTCATTAAATTCCCTGTTTTAGGCTAAATTTGGTGGAAAGCCTTCCTTGCTCAGATTAGGGAAACCAGGTGTGACTGAATGCTGCATTTATTTGGTCGCTCTAGTGGGGAATGATCTCATTATTGAATTAGTCTAGTCATAATAACATTGACAAGGGGAAGTTAAGAACATGGAGGCCTGAGGGATACAGAGAACCGTTACAAATTCTCTGAGGAATATAATTCCTAAATTCAATCATCCTTTTTTAAATGATTTTTTTTATTTGCTGAAGTAAGTAAATTAACACAGTTTTTGGCAGCCAGAATGGGGCCTGAACGCGTACTGGAGAAACGGGCATCCGAGTAATGCAATGCTGACTGGGCGGTATCGAGGTTGACATCAGTGGATCAGGTGCTGATGAAGCGTTTCTTCAGGAAATAACTGAATGGCAACAAGTCCTGCCTTTCACTGTTGAACTGGTGAATTACGTCCAAGGAAGTAGGTAGAAGCGGACTGTGATCACTTGGGAGAGGTTCTGCTACCATTACTCTTTATTCTTATATGGATTATGAAAGGAAATAGGCTAGCATGAACAGATATAGCCTTGAATGATTCTGTCCTTCTGATCCTGGCTCAGAAGACATCTCCTGCCTAGACCGTAAGCGCCAAGAGGCTGTCACTTTGTGTCTCAGAGCCTGGACCAGAGTAAGTGCTCACTATGTGTATCGAATGAATGAATAGGGATATCAAATCAAGGCCTGTTTTGGTGTTGATGACGGGCTTGCATAATGACAGCTTCGTGTATCTTTAGTTCCTTGAAGGTTTAGCCAGCTGACATGGGTCAGTTTTCTTATAGGCTTATAAGAAACAGCATCTCCCTTGCAGTTCTTTCTTTGTAAAACAGAAAACATTGCAAGAAGGAATAATGTAGCCCTGCTATTCACAGTCCCTTTCTCTCTCATTTTCTCTTGCTCTCATATAGACACACTTTATAGCCTTATTTTTTTTCCCCTTTTTGTTTTTGGTCGGGACAGGTTTTGCGAAATGGGCTCCATCAATTCTACCAAATTTGAAACTATGTAAAATAAATATAACAGGGATACCAAAATAAGCCAGAAATAATAGACTGCAGCAGTGTGCCTCAGCATTCCTTAAGCAATGTCTAATCAAGCATGGACAGCATCTGTATTTCCAGCAAATCTCTATAGGAATGTTATCTTCTAACACAGTAATTAATCACTAGTTGCCATGTGTCAGAAAACTTATTTAACGAGAAGTTGCAAAGTGCTTGTAGTTGTTTGTTTTTTTTTTTTTTTTTTTACTTCTGCAGCCTTCCTGGCCAGAGGAAAGTACAATACCTTTCAGTAATAAAGACACAGGGATCTGGAGTGATTCCATTTATGTTGATTCTTCTACTCGTGGTGGTGGTGTCTGTCTCTTTATACACACATTTTCTCTAATCTCTAATAGGAGGATAAATCTTGGGTGAGCAAAGGATCAAGACAACCTGTAACGTTACCAAAGGTACAGAGAGCCCCTGTCCTCTGTGGTTGTGATCACTTAAGCTCTGCTATGATTTTGAGCCTTTTGACCCCACTGTTAATTTTCAGACTCAGAAAGATTCTTTGTCCAGGAAAATCACTGGAGATTAACTGGAAAGTAGAAGGGCTTTATGAGTGTGCTTTTTTAGTTCCTTTCATCACAAATCATCTTAACTTGAGCTGTCATGTGCCTTTCCAAAAGTGAGTGTCTGAAGCCTCCTAGGAGTCCAGGTGGTGACAAGAGAGGTCTGAATATTCAAGCATTGAAGTCCCCATGGTGTATCTGGCGATCTTTAGAGTTTAAGTGAAGCCATCATTCAAAAAGAATATTCCAGAGTTTTCTTCTCAGTTCTCCCCGTCTACCCTGTTTTCCCTTTTGTATCTGTCCCTTTCATCTCAGTTGCCTTTCCTTTCTCCTTTGTTTCTCCTATCACACTACTTCCTGCTTTCATCCTTCAAGATTTCATTGCTCCTCAATTCTTTCCCCTTCATTTTGGTCTTCTGTAGACTGATATCTCTCATTCTTAAATCTGACAAAGGTAAAGAAATGAATGCTAAGGTTCAGGAAGTGGTGAGGAGAAAAGTTCTGACACACAAGGCGGCTTCCTTACCCTGGATCAAGGAATGCTTTCATTCCTTCAACAAATATTTATAGTGTGTGTTCTCCCTGGATCCTGCTCTCATGGAACTTGCATTATTGTGGGGCAAGACATAAACTAATAAATGAGTAAACTATAAAGTATGTCACATGATGGTATATGCTATGCTGAAAAACTAGGCATGGGAGGAATAGAGAGTGCCAGGATATATTGGAGGTAATCTGAAATTTCAGAGTGTTCATGGAAGTCCTTAATGAAATGGTAACATTAGAGGAAAAACCTAAGGAAGAGTGGGAGCAAGCCATGTGGATATCTAGGGAAAGAGTATAACAGAAAAGGGAATCTAAGGGGAAAGACCCAGAGGGAGGAGCATGCTTGGCATTTGAAGAACAGCAGAAAGACCATTACGGATGAAGTGAGTGAGCAGGGAAAGAATAAGCGATGAAGTCAGAGGTTTGATCTATAGGACCTGAGATCTTGAAGCCTGCTATAATGGCATTGACTTTTACTTTGTATGAGCTAGGAAGCCGTTAGAGGGTTTAGAGCAGAAGAGCACCATAATCTGAATCACTCTGGCTGCTATATTGAAAATACGCAGTTGTGGAGGGGAGGTTGTAGGCAAGGGAAAAGAAGCAGGAGGACCTGTTAGAAAACTATGGCAATAATCTTCTAGGTAAAAGGCAGTTGTGACGTAAAGCAAGATGGTAGTCGTGGAGAGGATGAGACATGGTCAGATGAGGAGATATTTTAAAAATAGAGCTGACAGGATTTGCCGAGGGGTTAGAAGTGAACCAATGACTCCAAGGTTTTTGTTCTGAGCAAATCAAAGCATGGAGTTTTCATTTGCTGAAAAGAAAATGAACCAGACTCTGGAAGAGCCCAGTTGAGGGTGTGGAGGGCAGAGGACCAATGCAGAAGAGATACCAAGAGTTTGGGTTGAAATAGTAGGTTTGAGATGCCTCTTAGATGTCTGAGTAGAGATAACAAAGAAAGAGTTGGATATATTAATGTAAACCTAGAGTTCAGGAGAGAGGTATGGGCCGGAGATAGTAGTTGGGGAATCATTAGCATATGGATAAGATTTAAAGCCATGAGAAAGGGTGAGAGGTGAGATCAAGTTAGGAGCACAAGTAGAAAAAAAAGAGAAGCTATCCAAGAATTGGGCCTTGGGAACCCCACTGTTTAGTTGCTGAAGAAGAACCGGCAGAGGAAGCAGACGACACAGCCAGTAAAGTAGGAAGGGTAACTAGGAGAGGGAAGTCAAGTGAAGTGTTGTCAAGTGAAGTGAAGAAGAGAGTGTCTTCATCTGTGTCAAATGCCGCTGAGAGGTTAAATTAGCTTAAGACAGAGAACTGGCCACTCGTGGGCTTCACCAAAGGCCTGGACTGCTTTGGTTTACATTCCTTCATCTTCCCTACACAATTTGCCTAAGGTAGGAACAAACTTCAGATGTATGTAT